TAACTTCATATATAAAAGAACACCTAGGGTTTCCATTCTGACCCCCACTAATTTCTCCCTCTTTCTATCTGAAATTACACTGAATTCTCTTCTATTCAACTCAGTGCACACACATACATACAGGTATATGCGCCATTTATCATTTTGCTGAAAGGTAAAATACTGTTCAGATCTTAGTTATTACACTTCTTTTGTCGTTCAACTACTGCTTGGTTAAGATTTGAGTTTAGTTTTGGTTTATTATTTTTTGGGTTACAGAATTTTGTGAATACAGATAAGAATATGCTGGTATCTAGCTGCATGTTAGATTGAGTTTAAGTGTTCTACTGACTTCAATTTGATGTAATTAATTTTTTGTGTTAATTTTAAATAAATTTAAGGAAAAAATTGGGTTTGAGTTTCACTTAAATTGATTTGCATAGATCCACTATAAATAAAGAATGATCTGTGATGTGGTGGTGTGGTGTGTTAGAGATTGTTAATTTTATTCGTTACGATTTTTTTTATGAAGACATCGAAGAGAATTTACTGGTCATTGAATAAAAATGTTTCAATAGCCGCTGTCCTAACCAAGGAGGAGAAAAATGTTGAAAACATATATTTGCTTCCAAAACGATGAAGTAAAGTGATTTGTTTGTGTTTCTTAAATATATTTGTCATGATTTGTCCATATTTTATTTATTTTCCTTGAAAATTATTTAATCCTTTTATGTTTCCCCTTATCAAACTGCATGTTTTTTTATCTTTCCATTTCCATAGTGAAAGACTACGATGTGCCTTAACTCTAAGATATTACGGTTTGTGTTTATGCTATGGGGATGGGTTGAATATAAGGGTAACAGTGTAAATGCTTAGAATTTTTCAAATGTCACTTTTGAAGTAAAAAGAAAAGAAAAAGGAAATATGACTTTTTGGACATCATCTCTCTTAACGTGGGTCAGGGTGGGAATGAAAGGATTTATTTGCTTCCAAACGTTATAGTTTTTTGTTCTCTTTCCTTAAGAAAACTTGTTCTTTGGAAATACTTGTTTTTGTTTGCTTAGTTACTTGAAACATAATTCTTGATCAAGGTCCGATTTTATTAACCCTAAGATTTATATGCTTCCATGTTTAAGGTATGGGAGGCAATTTGGTGGTTAGAGGGACCGTATCAGAGTGTAGAAATTTTAAATGATTGAATTTGTATTATAGCTGTAAATGCATAGTAGATCAAGTTTATTATTACCACCACGTTGAATAAGACAAAACAATCCAA